ACCATTCTGTCTTCTAGATCACTTATCTGTTCTGCCTCAGTTATTCTGCTCTTGATTCCTTCTAGTGTAGTTTTCATTTCAGTTATTGTATTGTTCATCTCTGTTTGTTTGTTCTTTAATTCTTCTAGGTCTTTGTTAAACATTTCTTGCATCTTCTCGCTCTTTGCCTCCATTCTTTTTCTGAGGTCCTGGATCATCTTCACTATCATTATTCTGAATTCTTTTTCTGGAAGGTTGCCTATCTCCACTTCATTTAGTTGTTTTTCTAGGGTTTTATCTCGTTCCTTCATCTGGTACATAGCCCTCTGCCTTTTCATCTTGTCTGTCTGTGAATGTGGTTGTTGTTCCACAGGCTGCAGGACTGTAGTTCTTCTTGCCTCTGCTGTCTGCCCTCTGGTGGATGAGTCTGTCTAAGAGGCTTGTGCAAGTTTCCTGATGGGAGGGACTGGTGGTGGGTAGAGCTCACTGTTCCTCTGGTGGGCAGAGCTCAGTAGATTAAAGTAGAACTTTAATCTGCTTGTCTGCTGTTGGGTGGTGCTAGGTTCCCTCCCTGTTGGTTGTTTGGCCTGAGGCAACCCAACACTGGCGTCTACCTGGGCTCTTTGGTGGGGCTAATGGCAGACTCTGGGAGGGCTCACGCCAAGGAGTACTTCCCAGAACTTCTGCTGCCAGTGTCCTTGTCCCCATGGTGAGCCACAGCCACCTCCCACCTCTGCAGGAGACCCTCCGACACTAGCAGGTAGGTCTGTTTCAGTCTCCTATGGGGTCACTGCTCCTTCCCCTGGGTCCCTATGCACACTGCTTTGTGTGTGCCCTCCAAGAGAGGAGTCTCTGTTTCCCCCAGTCCTGTCAGAGTCCTGCAATCAAATCCCACTAGCCTTCAAAGTCTGATTCTCTAGGAATTCCCCCTCCTGTTGCCGGACCCCCAGGTTGGGTAGCCTGACGTGGGGCTCAGAACCTTCACTCCAGTGGGTGGACTTCTGTGGTATAAGTGTTCTCCAGTGTGTGAGTCACCCACCCAGCAGTTATGGGATTTGATTTTACTGGGATTGCGCCCCTCCTACTGTCTCATTGTGGCTTCTCCTTTGTCTTTGGATGTGGGGTATCTTTTCTGGTGATTTCCAGTGTCGTCCTGTCCATGATTGTTCGGCAGTTAGTTGTAATTCTGGTGCTCTCGCAAGAGGGAGTGAGAGCACGTCCTTCTAGTCGGCCATCTTGAACCAATCTCTCTCGGGCCCTTTTTTTTTTTTTTTCTTGCGGTACGCGGGCCTCTCACTGCTGTGGCCTCTCCCGCTGCGGAGCACAGGCTCCGGACGCGCAGGCCCAGCGGCCATGGCTCACGGGCCCAGCCGCTCCGCGGCATGTGGGATCTTCCCGGACCGGGGCACGAACCCGTGTCCCCTGCATCGGCAGGTGGACTCTCCACCACTGCGCCACCAGGGAAGCCCATCTCTCGGGCTCTTTTATACATTAATTTCTTTTTTTTTGGCCACGCAGCTTGCAGGATCTTTGTTCCCCGACCAGGGATTGAACCTGGGCCTCTTTGGCAGTGAAAGCACGGAGTCCTAAACAGTGGATGCCAGGGAATTCCCTCTTTTATACATTAATTTCTGAGCTACACTCTTGGATGTGAGGGATTCCTGCCTGACAGCATGTTGATTTTGCTCACTCTGCAACTGTGTGAAGTTCAGTCTCCATTCGATTTCGCCGAGTATGGGAAGAGGAGCATACGGGGGCTCTTCATTAAAAAATTAAAAAATTAAAAAATTAAAAAATTCTCCGGTGGCCAGACAGGCCAAGGACCTCCTACGTCATGTGCTCTGCGCTGCGTCTCTGAGCACGGACCGTGTTGACCTGGAACAGTCCGTCAAGGGAGGATGCTCTCGAGGTCGTTCAGCAGTCAAGGACAAAGAAGAAAACTTCCTGGGATTCGGCGTGGTTGAATCTGGAGGGTTTTACTTTCCACATGCGTGTGTATATGGTTGAGCCGTTTTTACCCCCAGCGCCATGAGTTTTATTTAACATAGTCTGGTGTCACATTGAAGCTGGTGTAGACAGGACAGGATGCTTCTGCAGGCTTGGGCTGAGCACAGGAGCGGTCAGCACATAAGACGCGTAGGGATGCCACTGGTTCCTGTGCGCTGAGTACGGGGTTTTGGGAACAGTTCTGGTTTGGGTAACAGTTTACGTTAAAGAGACGTTTTGATTTTTAACTGTACAAACCATTATGAAGGGAAAGCATCTCAGGACTTCCCTGGCGGTCCAGTATTTAGGACTTGGCCCTCTCACTTCCAGGGCTCTGAGTTTGATCCCTGGTCGGGGAAGTAAGATCCCGCAGGCCATGCGGAAAAAGAAAAAAAAAAATTTTTTAGAGAAGGGAAAGCATCTGTTTGTCACCAGATGCTCTTTTTATTCCTGACGAGTTGCTCTTTGTTCATCAGAAGTTGGTGCCACGTTGGGGAGCAGACCACAGCCGTTTTACAACAGATTCCTTTTATAGGATAGCACTCCGTTGCCAAAACTTTGCGTCAAAAGTTTGTCACCGCTGTTCTTGCCGGGCGCCTCCCCTTTCCAAATGCTCCATCTTGGTTTCTGCCCTGATCTCAGATCTTCACCCTTACCGTGTGCTCAGTTTTTAATAAAGTTCCTTAGTGTTTTCTGAATTACGTTAATAATTAGTCCAAATGAGATACTCTCAGAAAAAAAGAAAAGGTTCCGTATTAAACTAAGCGACAGCGCCGTGGCCTGGACCCCTCTCCCCGAGGTGCCCGGTGCCCCGTTGACCCCCGGGCTGGCTCTGGTGGCCCTCCCTGTGGTCACCCCGGTCCAGCTCCTCGTGGACCCGCATCTGTCACCTGGCAGCACTCTGCCCTCCCACCGGGTCCTCCGTCCCTCCCCCTCTGCCGTCCCCACTGTCGAAGCTGATTTTTGCAGGAATCTTGACCTCAGTCTGCTCTACGTGTGTCCCTGGCCCCCAGAGCCGAGCAGGGCCCTGACCAGGGAGTCTGCGGGGGTGTGGGCAAGCTCTTGGGGGCTCTGCTCAGCATCCTGGGGTCCTCTTCACTCCCCCCGGCCTCCCTTGGCCAGTCCCTCCACGATCCGCCGCCCTGCAGGGTGGTCTCTGTCAACTGCCCCAGAGCCCCTCCTGCAGGCCCTGGTTTTCTCCATAATCCTGGGGATTATTACGGAGGAGGAGGTGGAAGCACGAGCCATTTGCTAACTGGCCCAGTCTTTCTGTAAAGGGCGATGCTGGCCTCGTCACCCTTTTTGCTGTGATGCCCGCCTGCATCCCCAACACCTCCCACCCGTGACCCTGCCCACCTGCATCCCCACACCTCCCCCCCTGTGACCCTGCCCACCTGCATCCCCACACCTCCCACCCGTGACCCTGCCCGCCTGCATCCTCACACCTCCCACCCGTGACCCTGTCCGCCTGCATCCTCACACGTCCTACCCGTGACCCTGCCCACCTGCATCCTCACACCTCCCACCTGTGACCCTGCCCACCTGCATCCTCACACCTCCCACCCGTGACCCTGCCCACCTGCATCCTCACACCTCCCACCCGTGACCCTGCCCACCTGCATCCCCACACCTCCCACCCGTGACCCTGCCCACCTGCATCCCCACACCTCCCACCCGTGACCCTGCCCGCCTGCATCCTCACACGTCCTACCTATGACCCTGCCCACCTGCATCCCCACACCTCCCACCTGTGACCCCGCCCACCTGCATCCTCACACGTCCTACCTGTGACCCCGCCCACCTGCATCCTCACACGTCCTACCTGTGACCCTGCCCACCTGCATCCT